ACTTCCCAAAAACCATCTGCAATCAATACAGCCTTACTTAAACTGACAAGTAACCCAATCTTAATCAGAAGCTTTGACAGATTTCAAAGTGTTTATGTAATGCGGTTCTCTCATGTTCTTATGCAATGGTAATTAAAATCTACTTGTGATTAGACCACAAGTAAACGATGCAGTGTTCCTGGGCTGCGACTAGGGAGCACCGTTACTACAGTCACACAACAGATAACTACGTAATTTACAGCGTTAAAGGAGGTCCTGTTGGCAGACGGTCGTCAGTTCTTCGAAGCTGATGCTTCCACTGCATACAGCACAGCCATCATGACAGCAGAAAACTGCTCCTGTCAGTCTGCAATCACACACCATTTCCTAAACACACCTCAGCACACTGAAAAGGTCACCATCTCCTTGCCAGAGATTACTCACCCTTAAGACAAATTGACACAATTACACACACAGGCATTTCCCCAACCAATTCGATCAAAGTGACCCATGTTAGAAACAAAACACACCTAAATCAAAGGAAGGGTAACACCACAAGGTGAGTGTGTTGTTGCAGCAGAAAGATGACCACAGCATTAAAATATTCTGCCTAAGCAAAATAACCTGTATCAGAAAAACTGCTGTTTTCATCGTTTAGCCCTCTTGCCATTACCTGCTCCTGCTAGCAAATGCCAGTCAGAGAATTATGCCTTAATCAACTGGAAATAAACAAGATCAAAGGGCAAACAGAGGTCCTTCGTGTGTGACTTGAAAGATTACCACTGCCCAAATGTCACCTTTTTGCAATTATTAAAAGTTAATTGAAACTAAAACCAAATGAGGAAGCATCAGTTAAAAACACAGATTCTTCAAAAGCCTGTGAAGCATGGTGTGTCAATGTTGCTACTCCTAGCCAGGTACCAACGGCAATGGTGTAGGAAACAAGGGCTTTGTAAAAAAAACCTAACTTTGCCACACCAGACAACTATCTAGCATAACCTCCCCCAAAAAGGGCACATCTACCTGACTCATATATTTATATAATGAGAGTAAAAGGTATGTCTTCAAAAAACAACCTCTCAATTACAGTCAAGAGCTATTTTATCCACAGACTTCAAACTCTAAATCTTGAATAATCCCTTCCTAATGTTTACCTGAGCATCAAAAAATGGAACGGAAAGGAATTCTTTTATTTGGTTTTCCACTGGTTTTAAATGGAAACAAAAAAGTAAATTACTTATTATTTGAAAGTTGTCTTTCAATACCTATCCTTTTGATCCAGCTGTATTAGATATATCAAACATTTGGAGAAACCTAGAACAGCCTTTCTTCTCCAAAGTCTCGGGAAGTAAGGATACTGCTTGGAGTTACCTGATCTACTTTCTGACAGAGATTTTAAGTAGTCCTTTTTCAGAATCTTCATATCTTTTTCTTTATTGTTACACAGACTTCACGACCACCAAAAATCTCCGGTCAGGCTTCAAAACAGGATAGATGAACTTTGATTCAATTATTGAACAAACAGCCCAAGAAAGCTCTTTTTCTGGCAGCAACCACCAAAAAACCAGGATGGCAATACCGCAATCTATATGCAATATAAACAATATTCAGCCAAAAATGTTCCTTCTTGAAGCCCTGCCAGTAGAGGATAACAAATTAGGGGAAACAAGGACTGAAGTACTATTTTGAGTGCTCAGCTATTGACACCTAACGGGGAAAAATGTTTTGAGTGTAAAAGACCATCTACAGCCTTTAACAAAAAAAAAAAAAAAAAGGAAAATATGATGAGACCATCACAGTAAAAATTAACACTTCCATACTACAAAAATCTTGGCCGCTCTGTCTATCTGAAAATGCTTCCGATCGAGCTTTAATCAGCAACCACCACCACTACACTGAGCAAGGGCTATGTAAAAACAGTGGGCAAAATAAATGCTGCCACTAATAATAAGCTAACAAATACTATCAGATTTCTGTTAGGGAAAATAATTTTACAAGCCTAGAAAGTTTTGCCAAGGGCAAGAACATTGAAGTTCAGAATGACATACAACAGCACACAGATTTACTAGATCATTACATAAGGGAATGAATGCTTTGTATAATAGTGAGGTTGAAAAGCTTAAGACAGTATTAATTAAGGCTTCACCACCATTCCACCATGATAAAAGCAAAATACTACCCAACTCTCCTATTGTTTATTTCAACAATTTCCTTTACATCACTTGGATTAGCCTAGCTTATGTGAAAGCTGCAAAAACAGCTTTGCCTCGGTCTTCACTGACAAG